TGCTCGGGGCGGCAAGTTCCACCGCCTGAAAGAGCGCCAAATTATGACGGCCGACGACTTGAAGAGGCGGAGCACATGGGCACAGGCTCGCACAGGGCGGCGCGCAGTGACGTGGCTGACGAAGCCCACTGCGCTTATCGATAACAAAATCTAGCCTCTGCACACTACGCGGGGCCAGGCGTTCCCACGCGGCGCGCCGCTCGATCCGCGGCGCTCTCCAGGAGGTCGGGCAGGGGCCCGAGGGGCACGCGGCGGAGCCTGAGGGATTGAAGGCGAAGTTCCTGCCCCAGAGCGCCGGGGCGGCGGCCGCCGCCATCGACGGACGCTGGAACGGCGACAAGGCGGTGAGCGCGTGCGATGGCCCCCCGTTGAAGGCCACCCAGAAGGCTTACCCCGACCAGGCGGAGAAGCCCGCAACAAACGGGTTGTCTTCGAAGATACAACCCGTCGGGCCACGCATATTTCAAGGGCGCGGCCGCGAAGAAGTCGTGCGCCGATGAACGCGCGCCAGCGGCTCCGCAAAGCGGCGGTCGGCCTTCCCCAGCCCCGCGCGGCGAAGCGCGCGGCCGATGTGGCCCGTCGCCGCGGCCAGTCGTTCAATCGCAAGGGCCAGCTCTTCCGCGAACGATGTGCACGAACGAGATGGGCACGGAAAACATGGGCACACTGCCCACCAGCAGTTCCTGTCCATTTTGAACAGGACTCGCTGTCCGCGCCGCCGCGGCCTGTGTCCATTTGAGACAGAAGGCCGCCTGCCCAACAGCGGCCGCTCTTGGTTTGGGACAACTCGTCGTTGGGCATTCAACCCATTCTTTCGGTGCCCATTTCGGGCGTCCAAACACAATGCAGAGAGATCGCTCCACAGGGGCGCGGGGCGCCCGCTCGGCCCGGCTGGCCGCGCGCCCGCGCGGACTCGGCGAGGCGCGCGCGCGGTCCTCATCGGTCCGCGCGCCGCCCCCGCGGCGCATCACCTGGCTGCCCGGCGAGCGAGCGATTTGAGCCGCTTCGCGGAAGCACCCGTCGCCGTCTGTCCGCCATCATTCTGGGCTGCAGCCCTGCCCGATAATTCCGCCGATGGCTACTGGGATATGCGCCAGCACTCGCGGGCGCGCGTCGGCGCACTTGCCGGCTGTCTCGGCGAGCTGTCTGCGCCGCCGCGGCGCAGCGCCAGCGCCGCCGCTACAAATGCCAGCAAAACATAGCACCCGCGCAGCGCGCGCCCGCGATTTCAGTTGGATGCACGGGCCATGCGGAATTATTTCAACTGCTAGAATACATGGGAGGCGCGGGCGCTGTTTCTCCATGGCGGGCAGCGCGCGCGCACGCGGCGCGCTCTGCAGGCGCGTTCGACGAGCTGCGGGGGAGAGAGAGGGGGGGGGGGGGCGAGCGCGCGAGTTTGCTGCGCAGGCTGAAGCAAGCAAGCGGGCCGGCAAGATAGCGCAGTTCGCAGCGCTCGCTCCAACCGCGGCGCGAGGGCGCCGTCTGCGGCGGAAGTGGCCAGCGGGGTTCGGGGGCCAAACCTCGCCCCCCGAGCTCTCGGCGTGAACGACCTAGGCGAAGCTCCCGCGAGCGCCCTGCGCCAGCTCCACCCGGCGACGCTGCCGCGCCCAATGCCAGGCGCAGCGGGCAGCGAGGGCAGGGGGCTGACTGCGCCGGGCAGCAAGACCAAGGAAAATGTGTCCACGCGCATCTTTGGCGCGCTCGCTCACCCGACCCACGCGCGCGGGCGGTAGGCGCGCAGCCTGGCCGCGCAAAGCAGGCGGGGCGGTGGAGATGGCTCCGCGAGCCACAGACGCGGCACTGCGGCAGTCGGTCGGTGCATGACCGCCTCGCAGTCTCGGCGGCGGCCAGTTTCGGTTCGCGCTGGCCAAGGGGGGTTTTGCTACAGCGGCAAGGGCCAGTCAGCCACCGGGCGATGCTCTCGCGCAGGGCACTGGAGCTGCGCTCGATGCCCAGCCGCGGAGTCGCCGCAGAAGCCCGCTAGCGGCCGGCGTTCGCGGCGCGATGTCCACGCAGAACAGTGCGCCGATGGCCGAGCTGCGCCGCGACGCATTCGCAACGCTGACCCAGAGCGGGTCAGCCACTGTGCACGGGGCCTCCGGGGCGGAGAGGGGGAGTCGTTATTCTTGAAGTCTTTGCGCGCGATGGCCGGTCGATTTGCGATCGACGCCCCTGAGTAATCGAATTTTCCCTTGGCGGACATGCCAACGGCGAAGATGGCAACGCTCGGAGGGCACCCGGGGAACGACGAACTCGCGTCGCGGCCGGCACAAGGGCAGGGCCCCACTTTTCACGACGCGCAAGCTTCCTGATATGCAGCGGCTGGAGTGGCACGCGCAGATTCGCTCTTCCACTGGCTCCCTCTGGGGCGCCAATGCCTCCGAGGTCAAGGGCCAGAAGGCGCGAAGGTTTGGCCGCCGCGCGGGCCAGCCTCGCGGGCGGCGACCATTCCGCACCCGCTGCTGATCTGAATTTGCAACCAATCAGAGGAGCCGCGCGGGCTGCGGCGCGCCGTAGGCGGCCTGGGGCGGCGGGGCGCAGGCCGGCAGAGACGTGGAAGTGCTTGGTCCCACGCGCAGTCGTCGCGCACTGACGCGCCGCGCGGACAGGACAACGCGCGACGTGATCACGCGCAGCGCCGCCGCCATGCAAGTTCCAGCGCGGGCGCGCGCAAGGCGGAACACGTGGCCCAGCGGGAATTGGTGTCTGTTCTCATCCCGGCCTTGCGCACATAGGGGAGAGCTTCTAGCGTGTCGGCGAGGTCGAGAGCCGCTTGCTGAAAAGACATGAATGGAGAAATCAGATCCTGAAACACCGTTGTGAACGTGGCTGGCTGCAGCATGGACGCGATGACCATGAGCTCGTCGCAGCCGGAGCGCGCGGGGGAGACCATTGCCAACGGGGCGCCCGCGCAAGCTGAGCGACACGGGCACGGTGGCCATCTTACAAACCATTAGGACGCCTCGGAAGCAGCAGCGCCCGAAGGGCATCGAAGGCACGGTGGCCATGATCATCGATGGCCTTGGCGTCAGCTCGACTGAGAAGGCCCCATCGGGAGTGCTACACGCTCGGGGCATAAAAGCCGACCGCCTGAAAGAGCGCCAGACATTGACGGCCGACGACGATAAGAAGCGGAAGGCATGGTCGCAGGCCCGCGTGGGACTGCGCGCAACGAAGCGGTTGACGAATATTGGTGTGATTGTCGACAACAAGACTCCGCTGTTGTACACCACAGGGGCCATGCGTTCCCATGTGCCGCGCTTATCGACCCGCGGCGCATTCCAAGAGTTCGGGCAGGAGACTGTGGGGCACCGGGTGAAGCGTTAGGAGACTGTGGGGCAACGGGTGAAGCGTTAAGTGTTGGAATGTGAAGCTCCGCGAAGTTATGTGGCCCAGGTCACTCGCGCTCCTGCGCCTTCGCGGATATGCATGGGCGGATGGCGGATCTGGCCCGCAACTGTTCCCCTGATGTCAGCGTTTGCTCAACGATTTCTTGGCCAAGCTGCCCGCTGGTGGGGCACGTCCCCCCTCCCTTCCCGTTTTGTCTCATCTCGATTGCGAAGGTACGGCGCCTGCGCGCTCGGATTGCAATAACCACCTTTGTGTTCCCCACTTCGTAGTTTTCCTGCGCCTCCACCTCGCGCGCGTCCAGAAGATCCAGTTGTTGAACTACTGCCTTTTCCCTGTCCCCCTCCTGGCGCTTCGCCGTCTACCCACCGATTGCCTGGACAATGCCGCGCGTTCGATCCAGGACGCCAGTGCAACAGGGCGGGGCTCTGCGCAAGTCGCGCACGGCCTGGCGCGGCCCCAAAACATCAGGCCATCGCCGAGGCTCAGCGGTGATCTTCGGCGACCGGGCAGGATCGCGGCGGCGATTCTTGGCAGCGCTCGACGTCCAGGGGGACGGGCGGTGTCGGGGCCCCCAAAACGTCAAGGCCCGACTCGGGGCGAAAACCCGGTCCCGGGGGAGGGGCCCAGAGCTCCAGGGGTTGGCCGACCCGGACAAATCATGCCGTCCGAAAGCTTGAAAGGCGCATGCGCGGCCTTCCGCAAATGTGGGCCGTCGTCAATCGTCGGAGTTCCGCGGCGAGAAGGAGGGCGCCAGGAGGATGGGAAGCTTCCCAATACGGCAGGTTCGCGTCCTGTCGACCGGGGGCGATCCCAACGCGGGCGTTCAAGGTTGAACCCCGCAGTGATGGACGATCGGGCGATCAGGAAGCCACCGATCGTTCAAGGTTGGACGATCCACTCGGTGTCAGATATCAACGTCGAAGTCTGCACGACAAGAGCCCGCCGTACCCCTCACCAGCACGCCGCGCCACCTCGGGGTCGCACCGAGGGCCTCCGAGCACCCGCCTACCTCGCACGCCGCGCCGCTCTTCGTCGCCGGGCGCCAGGGGCCAGCAGCCCGCCCTCCGCCGAGGCAAGGAGAAAGACCTCGGCCGCTCTCCTCGATTTGGGGGGTTTCGCTCCTTGCAACAGGGCTCCGGCCTGCGCGTCCACCCACGAGCCCGCCTCGGTCCCTTTCGGCCTCGCTCCTTCGGCTCCCCCCCCCCGGCGATCTGGCAGTTCTACCCGGCGGCGCCGCGGCGCCGCAGACGATCTCGCCCGGACTGCGCGTGCGCCTTGGGCGACCGGCCACGCACGGGCCCTTTGTCTCCACGAGCGCCCGGCCCCTCGCTCGCCCACTCGCCCCCCCTCACCGTTCACCCCCCTTCCCTTTGCTTCCATATCCTTCCTCCTCCCTCCTCTTCCCTTCTCCCTCCTCTTCTTCTTCTTCCACTTCCTCCTCCTGGTCCTCCTCCTCCTCCTCCGCCTATTCATCCTCCTCTTCCTCCTCCTCCTCCTCCTCCTCCTACTCCTCCTCATTTCTGTCGCCCTCCTGTTGTCATTCCTCTTCCTCCTCCTCCTCATCCTCCGCCTCCTCGTGCGCTCGCCCTTTTGCCTCCGGGGGGGGGGGGCTTGGGGGCTGGGCTGGAGACCACCCCGCCCCGTCCGAGGAGAAGGCTTCACGCTGCCCCCGGGCACCCTGCCGCTGGCGGGGTGGGGGGAGCAGTCTTGCTCCGCCGCCGCCCCTCCTCCGCTCAGAGCCTGCTGTCCAGGCGCCCCGAGGGCATCTCCCGACTCGGGCATTGCGCAATGGGGGGCGATGAATGGTTTGCCATCGTTCGGACATGAGGACCATCGAGGAGCATACAGGGTCACCTTGGGGACAACGCGCGAAAACGAAACATGCACGGGGAATGGACGTCCGAGCGATGACAGGTTGCGGGGGTGGAGAAAAGTGCACTTGCTGTGTCATGGCGGGCCCTAAAGGGCCCCAAAGACGCACGAAAAGTGCACGTGTCTGCCCCCCCATGTATCGCCCCCCATCAAGTACCGCCCAACCGACGGCCAGGCTCTCTAAACTCTTCATGGGGGACAGGGCCGTAAGATTTCCACGCCTGTTCTCCAATCGACTTGCGGGGATCCAGCCATATAAATCTAGGTCAGCCTAGATGATTCATCGTAAGTCCATGTAACCTACGCCTCCTATAGATGGGGTCCGAGTAGATGGGGTCGGTGGATTGCGCCGTATCGCCGATGCATCGCCGATGCAGCTCGATGTGGAGCCCGATGTTCTCCACGCCGACGGCGCCGATGCATCGCCGATGCATCGGGGATGCGGCGGCAGCCTCCGACCCAATCTAGGAGGCCTCTCATGTGAGTCCAGAGCTATCCAGATGAATTCGGATAAATTGTGGAAGCTCTGGCGCGAGTCGAGGGACAGCGGAAGTCGTTGAGCCCTTACCGAACAGGGGGTCCCCGCGGAGGAGACGCGCTCTCTGCAGTCTTCGGGCTCCCAGGAGCTTCCCAGGCCCGCTGGATACGTCAATGAACGGCCGACGACGGAAATGCTCCCCCGGGGTAAGTCTCCGGGGGATGTCGGGGACCCGATCTGCTGGACCCCGGCTTCCTCGCGCTGATAGTCCCCAAACGTGGTTGTGACAACTCCTTGCGGTGAGTCTCGGGCGATTTGGTGTCACCGCATTGTTGTGAAGGCCTGACGGCCGGCGCCGCCGACCCTGAAAGACATCGACGACGACCAGGAGGAGGAGGAGGACGAGGAGGAGGAGGAAGAGGAGGAGGAGGAGGAGGAGGAGGAGGAAAAGGAGGAGGAGGAGGAGGCGGGGATAAGGAGGAGGAGAAGGAGGAGGAAAAGGACTCCCCCTGGGCCCCCCCCCCTGGAGAGGAGGACTGGAGGAGGACCGGCGTCGGAGAGAGGAGGGGAGGGGGAGGAGGACCCACAGGGACGCATGCGCATCTGACTCCCCTCCCCCCCCCCTGGGACTCATCCTCATCTGGGGAGGAGGACCCAAGGAGGACCGGCGCGCCAGAGAAGGACCGGCGTGGGAAAGAAGGACCCCCAGAGGCAATGCGAATATGACCCCCCCGTCCCCCCGGGGACACCCCCCCCGCTGGGGAAGGGACAAAGGGAAGGGGCTTCCCTTTGACGTAATGATGACGTGGATGGAATTCCTTCAGGCTGCGAAACCGCTCCTCGAACGAGGAAGGGTGCTCTCTCTCTCTCCCTCTCTCTCTCTCTCTCTCTCTCTCTCTCTCTCTCTCTCTATATATATATATATCCCTTTCTCCCGGACGTGAGAGGTAAGGCGGGGACGTAAAAAGGTTCCCCTTCGACGGGACCGGACAGACACCCCAAACACGCCGACAGGGTCGGCGGATCTGGGGACTCGTGAGGTTTTTCCCAACCATCATGTGGTGTTGGGTCCTCGTTTTGAAGAAACAACGCCCCGCGTCTCCTCCTCCTCCTCCTCCTCTCCTCCTCCCTCCTCCTCCTCCTCCTCCTCCTCCTCCTCGTCCTCCTCTCTCCTCCTCCTCCTCCTCCTCTTCTCCTCCTCCTCCTCCTCCTCCTCCTCCTCCTCCTCCTCCTCCTCCTCCTCCTCCTCCTCCTCCTCCTCCTCCTCCTCCTCCTCCTCTTCCATATGGAGCTCCACCGAAGGCCCCAGTGGGGGCGTTCGCATGCGTCTCCCCCACCCAGGACAGCGTTTCGTGGCCCCCATAGCGAGATCCACCGAAAGCCCCAGTGGGGGTGTTCGCATGCGCCCCCCCCACCCAGGACAACGTTTCGTGGCCCCACAAAGAGCTCAACCGAAAGCCCCCGTGGGTGTGTTCGCATGCGTTTCCCCCACGCAGGACAGCGCTTCGTGGCACCATAGGGTGTTCCACCGAAGGCCCCAGTGGGGGTGTTCGCATGCGTCTCCCCCACCAAGGACAGCGTGTCGTGGCCCCATAGGGAGCTCCACCGAAGGCCCCAGTGTGGGTGTTCGCATGCGTCTTCCCCACCCAGGACAGCGCTTCGTGGCCCCATAGGGAGCTCCACCGAAGGCCCCAGTGGGGGTGTTCGCATGCGTCTCCCCCACGCAGGACAGCGCTTCGTGGCCCCATAGGGAGCTCCACCGAAGGCCCCACTGGGGGTGTTCGCATGCGTCTCCCCCACCCAGGACAGCGTGTTGTGGCCCCAATAGGGAGCTCCACCGAAAGCCCAAGTGGGGGTGTTCGCATCCGGCTTCCCCACGCAGGACAGCGCTTCGTGGCCCCATAAGGAGCTCCACCGAAGGCCCCAGTGGGGGTGTTCGCATGCGTCTCCCCCACGCAGGACAGCGCTTCGTGGCCCCATCGGGAGCTCCACCGAAAGCCCAAGTGGGGGTGTTCGCATGCGCCCCCCCCCCCACCCATGACAGCGCTTCGTGGCCCCATAGGGAGCTCCACCGAAGGCCCCAGTGGGGATGTTCGCATGCGTTTCCCCCACCCAGGACAGCGCTTCGTGGCCCCATAGGGAGCTCCACCGAAGGCCCCAGTGGGGGTGTTCGCATGCGTCTCCCCCACGCAGGACAGCGCTTCGTGGCCCCATAGGGAGCCCCACCGAGAGCCCAAGTGGGGGTGTTCGCATGTGTCTCCCCCACTCTCCGTAGGGAGCTCCACCGAAGGCCCCAGTGGCTGCATTCGCATGCGTCTCCCCGCCCAGGACAGCATTTCTTGGCCCCATAGGGAGCCCCACCGAATGCGTTGCTCACAAAAACGGTATTCACAACTGCATATGGTTGGGTCCTTCGCCAGGCTAATTTTAGGATGTCCCGAACCCTGGTGGGCCCAGGAGTCACAAAGCCCGGAGGTGACCCCGTGTTCCGCAACCTGGCGTTGACTTTGGGGGGATTCCAGGTCACAATTTGATATCTCACCATCTGATTCTGGGGGGTCCCAAGTTTTCCTCGTGCCGGTGTTCCTCTTTGAGGACATCCCTGGAGTTCCGCTTCTCGGGCCCCGCAGCCAGCGAAGATCGGCCTGGGGCGAGGAGTTGGTCCCGTGGATGGTGTCGATACCCGCGAGGGGCTCACATGGCCATGAAGCGAGCGAGCGGACGTCCTCAGGGGAAAGAGTCCTGAGGCTCTTCGCCGCTTTCGAGCTCTCAGGGCACTTCCTCGGCCCGAGGACCGTCAAGCAATCACGGAAAAGAAAAAAACGTGGGGGGAGGCATCCTTTTCTGACGGCGGCCGTATTGGCGCGTGTCCTTTTGGAACGTTGCTGTCCTCCCCTCGGACGACCCTCCTGTACCTTGGAGTGATTCGTTTCTCTTGGAGGAGGAGGAGGAGGAGGAGGAGGAGGAGGAGCAGCAGGACGAGGAGGAGGAGGAGGAAAAAGACAACTGATAATAAGACTAGTAATACGTATGATATTAATAGTGCTTATAATACTCATAATAATACTAATAATAACAACAACGATAATATCAATGATAATCCTACTAATAGTAAGGATAGTAATATCGTAAGAAATTGCACGAAGAGAGAAATAATAACATGTCTCTTTGAAAAGTCGACATCCCTGGAGTCCCCCAGAAACCCCAAGAGGTTCTCAAGACTGTCCCATTGGGGGTCCAACAGGCCTTTCGGTGGGCCCATCCGCGCGTTTCTGGGGCGCTCTGACACGGCTCGGCGGCGGTGGTAGACGCCGCCGGAAGTCGCAGAGGCCATGGAGTCGAGCTATTCTGTAGGCAGCCAGCCAGGGTTTTCGGTGACCGCCTCCATCGGACCAAGGTCCCCTCGCGGGTGGCGACCCCAGCGGCAGTTTGGATCGTACAGGCCTCCCAGACGGTCTTCGGGTGCATTCTTGCGGTTTGTCCACAGATAGGGGCACGTTGCCCGAAATTGGTGCGTCTTGTGATTGGCCGCTCGGGCTGGCCAGGCGATGTGCATGTATTTAGTGGCTCTCGGTCCATCCTGCAGCCGTGCTTGGGTTGTAGGTCGGGGGCCTCCTGGATGCGTGTGGGGATCTCTTTGGGGGCCTCGGATATTTGGGCCTCTCGGGACATCTTGGGGACCTCGTGGGGCCTCTTGGGCGCACATCGGGGGCTTGTGCAGGGATCTTGGGGCCGTCTTGGGGCAGAGGATTCAAAATGTCAGTTCGTGATCCCCATCTTGGCCCCCTCTTGTGGCCGTCTTAGGTGCCTCTTGGGTCCCCTTTTGGGGCTCTTTGGCAGTTTTGGGGCGATCGTGGGCGCCTCCTAGGCCGTCTTAACCGAAAAGGCAGTCTCTTATCTTAGGCCGTTTTGACCCAAATGGCAGTTATGTGAGAACCGTACAAAGACCAATGGATGTTGATGATTTGGGCCTCTTGGGCCGCCATCCAGGGCCTACAAGACGGTCCAAGAGGCCCCCAAGGGGGCTCCAGGACAGTCCCCGACTTTGAACGGAGGTCACAGCCGAGTCTACGAGCGACGCGCCTGCGTCTGCCGCCGCTTGGGTTCAAGCGGCGCGTCGTATGCATGTGACTGTCCCGTTTATGGGGCAGTGTCGCACCTGAGGGACGGAACACATCCGTCGATGATGCACTCTCTCATCCCATGCCTTATCTCTCGTCTATCTGCTCAGACTTACAGTATGGACAAGTCACGGGTACGATTACAGAATTAAGTTGTGATAAATTATATTGGTTACCATATCATTTTCGATTCGGGCAGCGGAGCTGGCCTCGTCT